GCTAAATATATGACTATGATTATACTAGAATGAATTGTAATTACTCTGCCATGTATAGCAAACAATTGTAATTGTATATATATGTGCTCAATCTTGTGATCTATACACAACGTCTTCGAAAATTCTGGTTTATATAGCCATCTTTTCATGGTATCAGAGCTACAAAGCAACATCGCTGTTCAAATTCTATCCATAGCCAATATGGCAGCAACCTCTTCTACCATCATCCAAATCACCCAAACCCAACTACCACTCAAACTTATAAATATAAATTTTCCATTCTGGTTCCACCAAATCGAAGCACTTCTTATTGGTTTGGATCTAATTGGTTACATCAATGGAGATATTCCCTGTCCACAAGAAATCATAACCAATGGAATTGGTGACAAATCTGAGAAAGTCCCAAACCCTGCATATCACCATTGGGTCCGACAAGATAAATTGATTGTCCATAGGATTGGTACATCTATTTCAGAAACTGTTATACCAGTGATAGCTAGTTGTGCTACATCTATGGAGGCAATGAATAAATTAATGTAGTCTTCTATAGCAAGACAAAATCAAGAGTGATAGCACTCAAACGATCATTGACGATGTTGACGCAAGGAAACCAATCTTTTGTTGATTCCTTCAAACAGCCAAGTTCATAGCCAATGAACTTGCTCTAGCCCAAGCCCCAATTCTAGACGATGAATTTGTGATTCACATATTTAGTGGAATTAATCCAAAACTAAATGGTATTGTCACTGCATTGAAAACCAGAGAAACAACATTTACGTATGAAGAAGTTTTTGATAAATTGGTTGATCATAAGAAAGATTTGAATCGGCAAGAAGAAGTTCTTATCACACCTCCTAGTGTAAACTAGATACACAAATGAAGAATTCATTATGCTTCGCAACCACCGAATCGAGGTAATTACTGTGGTAACAATTTTGATCCTAATTATATAAAAAAAAACAGGTGCAAACTAAAAGTCATGTCTCTAGTCCGCAACGTCCAACCTACCAACTTTGTGGAAAATATGGTCATGATGCCAAAAGATGTTGGAGTTACACCGTAACCCAAAATCAGCAAGACCAACATGCAACAAATTTGGTCCGAACGACTCCAAAACAAAAACCTTGGATCATTGAAATCAGAGTCACGACACATGTAACCAACGACTTAGCAATGTTGGATGTCTACAATGATTATGGAGGATATGATGAACTACTCATGGCCAACGATAAAGGTATTCCAATCCAAAAAATAGGTTCTACCAAAATAACTTCACCCATCCAGAAATTTACATCTTTCCAATGTCCTTCATGCCCCTACTTTGCATAATAATGTGATTTATGTTGCCAAACTATGTCAAACTAATGGTGTTTCTGTTGAATTTTGTGCAAATGGTGTGCTGGTGAAGGATTTGGTCACGGGGGCAACACTGGCGAAAAAAACTGTCAAAAGTGATCTCTATTTTTTGGGTAATGATAATTTGTCTCAAAAACATAAAATTTTCTCCTTAAATTCAAATTCACATGCATGGCACAAAAGACTAGGACATCCTGCATCTATGACTCTCAACTTTATGTTAGAAAAGTTTGGGCTTGGTAAGATCGACTCCATTAGTGATTGTAATGCATGTCTTTCAAATAAAAGTCATAAACTGTCTTTCTTTCACTCTACTTTATCAAGTTCAAAACTATTGGAACTTATTTTTAGTTACATATGAGGAAGCCCCAAAATTAATTCCTTTGACGGTCATCACTATTATATAATTTTTGTAGATCATTTTTACCCGTTTTACTTGGCTTTATCCAATAACATATAAATCTGATGTTCAAACAATTTTTCCAGTTTTTAAAGCCAAAATTGAAAATCTCATGGGAAATAAAATTGTTACACTCTTTACTGATAACGGTGGTGAGTATATGGGGCTCACTAAGTTTTTTAATGATCATGGGATTACACATTTGACAAGCCTACCTCATACCTCGGAACACAACGGAATCTGCAAAAGGAAGCATAGACATATAGTTGAGATAGATTTATCCTTATTACATGATGCTCGTATGCTTGGTGACTTTTGGGTATTTTCTTTTCACACAGCAGTTTACTTAATTAATAGGATGACCACACATACTTTACAAAATCATACTCCATTTGAACTCTTGTTCCAACATGAACCCAATTATTTCAAATTGAAAATTTTTGGGTGCCTTTGCTACCCTTGGATTAAACCATTTAAAGCAGGAAAACTCAATGCTAATTCTAAACCATGTGTTTTTGTCGGGTATTCACCCCATACAAAGTGCATATAAATGTTTTGATCCCATTCACAAAAAAATTAATTTTATCTAGGCATGTTAGATTTGTTGAACATATTTTTTCCATTTAAAGAGAAATTTTTTTATATTCAAAAGCCCATAATGGAAATGCCCTAGGAACGAGAGATCGCCCAAATTGTTCCTACAGCCGGTGTTTCCCCGGCAAACCAATCTACCATAGGTACGTCACTTGACCAAAGTCCTTTGCTAACATCTATTTTTTCTGCACCTTCTCACTCGTACCTTGATTCTACATTCTCACCTACATAAGTCTTACCCACTTTCGACCCTTAAACCGATGTTGACTCTCTCCCCATTACACCATCTCATTGTCCTGATTCCCTAACTACCACGTCTAATCAAAACCTAACCACTAACATCCACCCTATGCAAATAAGACTACAATCGGGCATCCGAAAACCAAACCCAAAATACATTTACCAAATCATGGATAGCTCAATTAGTTTTTTAATTGAACCTAGGAGTGCCATAGAAGCTATGAAGCTGGTCGAATGGAGAGAAGCTATGGAAACCGAGTTTCATGCCTTAACTGCCAATAACACATGGACTCTCGTCCCTCCGAATCCCGACCAGAATATTATTGAAAATAGGTGGGTGTTCCGAATCAAAAGAAATCCAGATGGCTCAATCGAGAGATTCAAAGCGAGATTAGTTGTGAAAGGGTTTCATCAACGTCCGGGAATTGATTTCAAAGATACATTCAGCCCTGTCATTAAACCATCTACTATCCAAACGGTTCTCGCCATTTTTGTCTCTAATGGTTGGATCCTCAATCACCTTGATGTCAATAATTCTTTTCTACAGGGTACTATAGACGAAGATGCCTACATGGCTTAACCACGATGATTCATCGACAAAGACAAAAAAGATTATGTATGCAAATTAAACAAAGCTATCTACGTGCTCAAGTAGACTCCTCGGGCCTGCTTCAAAGAACTCAGCCACTTTGTTATGAACTATGGATTTCATGGCACTTCCGCAGATGCATCTATCTTTGTGTACAATCACAACAGTAATATAATTTACTTTTTAGTTTATGTTGATGATCTGCTTATTGCAGGAAATAACAAGGCTGCTATACAAAAATTTGTTCAAGAATTATCTAAGCGGTTTTTCCTGAAGGATCTCGGTACCCTAAGTTATTTTTTGGGATTAGAAGTCATATACACTACCGACGGTCTACTTCTCCTTCAACGAAAATATATCATTGGGGAAAATTGCAAAAAATATCCCACACGTATACCTCATTATCACTTTTGTCCTGTATTTATCTTCCTGGTAAAATATATTCTACATGTTTGTAAAAGTTGCTATAACTATCATTTGGCCACGTGTGGCTGCGCGTGATTGCGCTTAAGGGCGCATAGTGTGAATGCCACGCGCGGGCAACTGACATAAATAACGACTTTTGTAAACATGTGTGATATATTTTGACAGGAAGATAAATACAGGACAAAAGTAGTAATAAAGTATAAGTCTGAGATATTTTTTGCAATTTTCTTTATATCCTTGAACAGTTCAACATGGAAGGAGCGAAACCCACGTCAACATCCATGTCGACCACAACCAAAATTACAACCAAAATTACAGCCAATGATGGTTCGAGTGAGACAAATGCCACCGAGTTTTGGCAACTTCTTGGGTCTCTGCAATATGACCTATTGACGAGACCGGATATTGCCTTCTCTGTCAATAGACTAGCACAATCCATGCATAATCCAACAGCTAATCATTGGATCATGGCAAAACGTACGCTCCGCTACCTCAAAGGTACAGTAAATCATGGTCTTTCCTTAAAGATGTGCAGTTTCACAACCATAACTGCCTTCAGTGATGCCGATTGGGGGGGGGGGGGGCAACCTCGATGATCGAACCTCTACGAGTGGCTATGTGGTATATTTAGGTCGCAATCCAATCTCTTGGAAATCTACTAAATAGAAAATTGTTACTCGAAGCTCAACCAAGGCTGAATACCGATCGTTAGCCAATGCTGCAGCTAAAGTCAAATGGCTTACAAACTTGTTGCACGAATTACAAGTCCCCATTCGAGAAACCACCTATCTTCCTGTATGACAATATTGGTGCCACATACTTAGTGTCAATCCAGTCTTTCACTCCCGAATGAAACACTTAGCTCTTGATTATCATTTTGTACGAGAGCAGGTCCGTTGCAAGTTTGAACAGCTACCCATTCTTGCAGAGAAAATTAACAAATCAAATTCAATTACTCCAAATTAGCCAAAAATCAAACTAGAATGAATGGCAATTGTATATATATATATATGTGCTCGATGCACAAGATCTTGGAAAATTCTGTTTTGTATAGCCATCTTTTCAGTTAATAATCTTAATATAAAATAATAGTTATAGTCCGGTGGTATAATGATATATTCGTGAACTTTAAGATTATGAATTAAAACCCTACCCTGCGTCTCGGGATCTAAGCCTGCATTGCAACACACATAAATAAAATAACATTATATTGAGTAGCAATAATAATAATTCAGACAAACACATGTTATAATTTCAGTCATGAGTCATACACTCGTAAATAAATTGTTTTATCTGCTAAGACTTACGAGAGCAACTTAACCATACATAATGATAAATAAATAAATAAATAGAGCAACTTAACCATACATAATGATAAATAAATAAATAAATAAATAGAGGACATGAAAATTACTTTATTATTACTCCATTATACTTGAAATGTGCAAATCGAGGTCTAATAAAGTCAACAAAAAGCTAATTAATAATAATAATAATAATAATAATCATAGATCTAAATGAAGTGAAAAACACATGACATCACATTAATCAAATGTAAACAAACATCGCCTTAATACACCAAAAAATCCCCAAACTCAAATCACGCCGGCGCCGGCGCCGGGAAATCCGACCAACAACAATGCTGCGGCGGCGACCACCACACATCCGATCAGTTGCGGCTCCAGCCGAATCCCATCATCTTTTGCAGGCGCGGATGAACCGCCGCCGCCAGAAGGCGCGGCGGTGGTCGGCGCCGCCGTGACATTGTTGAAGATCGCCGCGTCAGGCGAGTTCGGCGCCAAGTGCAGAAGCTCTGTTCAGCGCAAACAACGAAAAGTTAAAAAAAAAAAAAAAAAAAAATTTAATGAAACTGACAATCGGATGCAAAATTTCCGGCGGATCGGAAAATGAAAAGACTTACTGGGGCATTCGGCGACGCTGGCGTTGGCCAATTTGCAGGCGGAGGGGAGCTGGAGGAGGCGCTCCTCCTGCACGCCCATGCTCTTGACGGCTTCGTTGGAGCCGTTGTGGATCTGCTGAATTATAAAGCATAGGCAAGCCGGATCGGTGTTCTTCAGCTCGGCTACGGCGTCGCAGCACTGCTTGCTCGGCTCCGCGGCTTTGTTCGTGGCGAAGGGGAGGCACTGCGTCACCTTCTGGAACTCCGCCGCGCACTTGGTCGCCAGCGAGTTGTCGGCGGCGGAGGCCATTCCGAGGCAGAGGAGCGCGGCGGCGGCGACGGCGGCGGCGAGCGGATTCATTTCTCCGGCGGTGGAGGGATTTTGGAATTGAAGAGAATGGGGAGGTGGTTGGGAGCTTGGAAATGGAGGCATTTAAAAGTGGGTTTGGAAAGCGTGGCCGCCATTAATGAGGGAGGGTTTGAGAGGTTTCGACCACGCGGCGGGATTGGCGCCACGTGGCGGAGATATGGGCAATCTGGGAGTTGTACGTCAAATCAGTTTCGTAATCGTTTAGAGAACTTTTGTTTATTTACTTACTTCAGATATTTTTATATTGATTTTATTACAGATGGCTTTTCCGGTTTTAGTAACCATTCAAAACACCTTTTTTGAATTCACTATTTTTCCATTTTTAAAATTATTAATATCATAATTAAATATTCGTTTTTTATTTAAAATAATTTTTATATTTTATTGGTCGATAATGATTCATTTAATTTAAAAATTAATTTAATAAATATTAGTACATTTTACTAATAATTTAAAATGTAATATAAAAATTATTTTGTCCTTACCATTTCTTTTAATTGAAAATATTAGTTTGTTAGTTGTATTTAAAATTGATTTAAAATATATTAATTTAAATTTTTATTTAAATAATATTTTGATGACATATTTTTGTAAAAAAAAATTATATTTTTTACTAAAAATATTATCAAATAAATAGTCTTTATTTTAATTTGAAATTGTAATAAAAAACCACGTTAGATTTTCTTTAGTTAATAATATGGTAAAATACTAAAATTCATACATTAGTTCTTTGATAGTACTATCTTTTTATGTATTCATAATTTTATTTATGTCTACTTCAATATATAATTTACATTCTCACTCTCATTCTTAATAAATTTTCTATTAATAAATAGAATTATTAAAGTCTCATTAATTAATTGTTTGCGTGTTAATTTTTTAATATTAATTATTATATCGAACATAGTACAAATAAAAAAAAATTAAAAAATACTTCAATTATTGTCTTATAATACTAATAGAAAAATATTTGTACAAAATATTATACAAATATAAAAATATTTTTAACCGTCAATTACAATGACACAGAGATAAATGTTATCTTTTAGAGATGGATGGAGGAAGTATCATCTACTAACTAAGGATGGAAATTGGCCAAGCATCCTACTAGAAATCTACAGTCTGATTTGGCCTGTTTACTAAAATTATTATATTTATGTATATTTTTAAGCCTTTTAAAATAAAACGAGACTTAAACTTTACAAAAAATCTTTTTGACCTATTAGGCCGGCATGCTTATATATTTATATATATATTATTTAATATATACAAATATTATGTTTTTAATTATTTATAATTCATAAAAAATTATATTTGGTAACAATAAAAAATATAAAAGATTAATTTATTTTAATTGACTTATGATATATAATAGATAATTATATTTATTTCTTTTACAAATATTAAGTTTGAAAATAAAAATATAATATTATATAGATTTTTAAATAGGCTCCTAGGTCAGACCAATCTTTAAAATAAGCAATGCCTCAACCTCAAAGATATATTTTAACAGACGGATAGACAAATTTATGCTTTAATTTTATAAAACAAGTCTGGCCTATTTAGTCAAAGCTTGTCCGACCTATTTTCACCCCTATTACTAGCTACTAGTAAACTACCCTCTTCATCCCTTAAATATATATCTATTTATTCTTTACACGGAGTTTAAGGTATATCAGTACTATATTGGTATATAGTAGGAATAAAATAAAATAAATTAAAATAACTTTATTGGTATTGTGTAATATAAATGTAATGACATTTATGTAATATATTTTATGTTGTAAGAGTATTTGTAATATTATGTACATAGTACAATTATTAAAAAAAAGAATAAATACTTTATAATGAAACTGATCAAAATAAAAAAATAGACAATTTATTATGGGACGAAGAGAGTATTAAAATATATTATTTCTCCTCCTTAGGAATTATTTTAATATATTAACATTTTGAATTGCAAAATTTTTTGAGATGAAATAAATTTTGAATATAGCGATGATGATTTAAATAAAAGTTTAATAAGTAATGGATTCACATTACAGTTATTTAATACGTAATGGGTTCAAAACCCGACGCCTCAGGTCACCTGTCACACATGGTTCGCTTAGTGTTACTTTTTCGTCGGACCTAATTTGCAGATAATTAGGTTCGATCGGAGATTTACAGGAAGTTCCTTCATCCAAAAAAACAAAAAAAAAAAAAAAAAGAATAAATTGGGCTGTAGTTGTATTGAAGTGAAGGAGGTGGGGAGTTGAGTAGGGTTTCCACTAGAGGTGCGGGCAGACAACACAACATTAAAGCGGAGTTAGCGCAGATGCATGCCTGTCGTCTTTCAATTATGCTATTATTATTATTATTATTAATTACACCATACGTTACAGCTCACATCCGCCGACGTACGTAAATCATCCATGCAAATTAACGACCCCTTTCTTTCTGTTTCTATTTTATTTTTTAAATCTTAAGCTTTAGTTTAGATGAAAATTTGAGTTTTCAAATATTTTGGCATTAATAAAAACTATTATTGTTCTGTAATTGAAATATATGTTTAAATATAAAAGTGAATAATAATAATAATAATTATTTTTTACAAATAATATATTGTAGACAAAAAAATTGTGTTATATTTTTTATAAACACAAAATCGTACAAATTACATTTAATTTAAATATATGTGGATCCTATTCTCTATTTGGATCATTTGATTCTCTTTCCGGTCGATTCACTTTTTCAACTTGGATTTGGGTGGCTTTTTTTATTCGAAGGGATTTGGTCTTCGGTTTGATTTTGCCGGAGTTTTGAAGGGCTTTGATATCCGTGTTGGCGATTTTGATCGTCGATTTTGGATTGATGCCTCCTTTGGATGATCCGACAGAATTTGATCTTTTAGGGGGTAGATTTGGTATTTCATAACGCTTTTAGCGGCGTGTCCCTTTGACTTTTGGATCGAAGAGGGCAGAGTTTGCGTCTTTGATGAAGAACGCGATGAACATCTTGAAGCTTTGGGAGCGACTTTGGAGGCTCTTCCTTGGCTTTGATAGATTCCTCAATGACTTTGAGAGCTTTGATCCTTCCTCCGGCTCGGACATACGACGAAGAACGTTAACTCCATCGATTCGTCAACCAATATTGGATCATTTGTCCAAATCGGTGACTTTTCCACGAAGAACGCTTCGAAGGACATGAAGAACAATGAAGAACATTGCAGAGAGTCTAAAAAGACTTACCATTGCGCGAGTCTTCAAATGAACTTCGATGTCTAATGAATTGGCCAAAGCTCCTATTTATAGGGGAGGGTGGTCTTGGCTTCCTTTTCGGATGGTGCCACGTGGATGAAAAGATTTTATAATATTTCATTTTCCATCAGATGTTGTTTTTTATTCTTGACGGATTTGATTGTGCACCTTCTTTTCTCGCCAAAATCTTTATATCATTTTTTTTTGGAAGATAATAATTTATATACTTCATTTAAGCATATTTTTGCATTAATGGTTGATATTTATTGTACAAAAATTAACATATGTGCATAATTAAATAACATATATTTATATTATTGAAATTTTATTTTCTCCCAAAATACATGATATTTAATTTAATTTAGACATTTAATTTTTAATGCCTACATATATTAAAAAAAGTGAATAATAATAATAATACTAAAAACAAATAAGAAAATATATATTTTTCTTACTACAATTAAAAAAAAAAAAAGTGAGCTTATGTAACAAAAACAGACCCAAGTGAGTTGATTTACTCAAAACAAAATTATTATTAGTCTCATTCAAATCCAATTTTTTTGTACAAAATAATTATCAAAACTAGTCCCACCAAAAAAATTACTTATCATTTCTAGTCCCACCGTTCAAATTTTGACGGTTCCTGCTGAAGTGGCTGTTACGGATGCTGACTTGGAAGCTGACTCGGACACAACACGCCCGTGTTGCACAAAACACGCCCGTGTTTAGAATACACCTCATTGGACCGAATTTGAGACTCCAACACGGGCGTGTTATATGGAACACAGCCGTGTTTCTACATGATACACGAGCGTGTTCATTAAGACACGACCGTGTTGTACCATTAAAAATATTGGCGATTAGAATTAGCCCTACACGGCCGTGTTCGACCTCATTGTTCACAAAAACTCTAGCCCCACATGTTCCCCATTTCAAATCTATTTCACTCAAATTCTCTCCCATTTTCTTCCCCATTCCAGTCCCATTTCTCCAATTTATTAACCTCACTTTTCATATATTATATTTTATCTCTTTGAAGTGAAGAATATTCTTGTGGAATCTATTGTGGAGGTAATTTTAATTTGTTTTTTTCATAACTTTATTGTCTTTTATGGTATAAAAAATAATAATATGTATAAGTTGTATATTCTAGTGATTAATGGATTATATTGTATGAAAAGTTGAATATTATAGAAATAAGTTTTATATAATGTATTGTTTTATAATTAATGCATAATTTTTTGTATTTTATAATTAGTGTATTCAATATGTGTTATATCCTCACTTGTATTGTAGGAGAAAATTATTTATCATAAAAATGAGTTATGATAAAGGAAAATGTGTCGAAGAAATATACGATGAAGATGTAAATTTGGATTGCAATGAAATTCGAGAAGAAGATGAGTGGAATGAAATGCTTAATGAATCGGATTTTGAGGATTCCGATTATATGATGGAAGAACAAAATTCGGAGGATGATAGGATTGATTGGTCATTGATCGATAATAATGTGGATATAAATGAGTTTAATGAAAATCAAAGTGTCGTGTTGCACCAAAATTCCGAAGATGACATGTCATTCGGTGATTCTCAAGAAAAAGATTTAACCATGTTTGTTGAATCCGATGTTGATGAGATGGAATCGTATGCCATTTATGATCCAACGTCAAAGTATGATCCCACTTTTAGTCTTGGAATGATTTTTAGCTCTAAAAAAGAATTTAAGGAGGCGGTCTAGAATCACGCTATCAAGACAATGAGAAGTTTGAAATTTGTCAAGAATGATAAAAGAAGAGTTTATGTCTGATGTGCTATTGAGAACTACAATTGGAAAATGAA